TCCGAGTCCAAAAAAAGAACAAACGACGGGAAAAGCTGACAGTTTTCTCTGCCAACAGCTTACTAGATTAAACGCGCTGATCAAGTGGAGTGATACAAGATTTGGACACTCTAGAATTTTGGAAGATCTTCCAGGAAACTTCAGGCGCCTTGACTACACAGTCCCGCCTACTGGACTAAAGAATGACTTCCAAACAAGGATCCCCTCAAGAGGTGAGTGGGAGGAGGATTCAATCCTGATCTCTTATTCTGACTCAGCAGCCATCTACACCGATGGCTCCAAGCTAGATCTGAAGGTAGGAAGTGGGATATATTCGCAGGAACTCTCACTTAGCCTCAGTTTCCGTCTGCCAGATTACTGTTGCGTGTTTCAGGCTGAACTAACAGCAATCTACGAAGCTGCTAGATGGCTGATCCATTCTCCTACTAATCTGCATACAGTAACTATTTTTTCTGATATCCAGGCAGCTATCAAAGCACTTAATTGTGACAAATCCTCATCGAAGATTGTCATGGAATGTAGACGTATTCTAAATAAGCTGGCAAGGAGTCACTTTACTCGAGTTGTATGGGTACCAGGTCCTAGGGGCATACCGAGCAAGTGTGTTGCGGACGAGCTGGCTCGGAAAGGAACCCTACTGCCTGCGATCAGTACCGCTCGTAATGCGGGTATTCCGCTATCATCCTGTAAACTTTGGCTGCAGAATAACTTTATCGAACGGGCAAATGTAAGATGGTCCGCAGAGCCCACGTGCAGGATAGCGAGACACATCTGGCCTAGGTTAGATAAGCGTAGAACTCGCTCTCTCCTTCGTTTGGAGCGACCAATGCTCCGCCATGTTATCGGAATTCTCACCGGGCACTGCCTTATGGGAACCCACGCTGCCAGGATGCAGAGAACACCTTTCTACGTAAGCGGCCTCAGCCGCACTTAGGGATTATAACCCTCAGGCAGTAGAATTCTCCTTTCAGTGTTGCCAAAGAAGGGGGGCTAAACACCTTTTGCAGAGAACACCTTTCTACGTAGGCAGCCTTCGGCCGCACTTAGGAATTATAACCCTCAGGCAGTAGAATTCTCCTTTCTGTGTTGCCAAAAAGGGAGGCTGAACACCTTTTGCAGAGAACACCTTTCTCGAGATCGAGAGCGTGGAGCACTACCTGTGCCACTGTCCCGCCTTGGCTAGAGCCCGTCGACGCTCGCTCCTTCGCTATTCTTTCGAGTGTCTGGCTGAACTGGACTCGGCCAGTATCTACGATTTTGTGCGCTTTATCAGAGTTACAAATTGGTTCAATTTCTGAGGTAGGAGGAGGGACGTATGGGTCTCAAATATGGTATCACAATGGGCCCATGGAGGCCTAAGTGTGCCCTTTCCTGCACGGATGATCTAACCAGGATAACCTAACCTCTGCCAACAGCCTCTTTCATATGTATGTCGATTTTCTCCACAAACGCTGAGATTGCAGTCATAATTTCTGAAAAATTTTATTGAGATCATTTAGTTTTGCAATTATATCATTAAAAAATGCCTTATCTACATGGTCATTGAGAATTTCTTCATTAATTTCTTTGGATTTCAGAAATATCTTTATTTACAATGGCCTAATATACATAGTATGTATGTACATAATTTTCAATTGAAGCTTTCTCATTTACAATTGACGATTTTCATTTTCAATTGACACTTTCGCATTTACAACTGGAAATGGCGTAGTTCGATACAGAGTTTTTTTCTGTCCATCTATTTGTTTGGGGGTGCCTAAAATAGAGGTCGAGGGCTACTAGACACCCGCGAACTACCGGTTGGACAAAACTGCTCGAAAATATATATACATGTAAGAAAAAAAAATTACTGATAACTCTTTCTTTTCCTGTACCGTTAAGTATTTAGAAATCTACTAAATGAGATAGTCCCTTGGTGTTCACCACCCCCAAATACTGAAATATTTAGCATCTCCTAAATACTTCAGTTGTATTTACTTTAGTATGTATTTATTTGCAACTGGGTCAATACATGCAAACGAGGAAAACAACATAAATTTTAAAATGCCCTAATTATGCTGTAGGGAAAATCTCAAGTTTTTAAATGCCGCAAAAAAACGTCGAAACACGTAAACTTAACATTAAGTCGTGTATACTGAATCTGTTTACCGTTTTTCCTGATCAGGTCATTTTATGAAAAAAAATAAATAAATAAATTTTAACAAAGAAACAATTTAAAAAATTAGACATCTTTTGTAATTGTTTTCCATTTGCATTAAAGCCTCTTCTTTTGCCAAAAAGTCAAAATCGATGCATAAATAGACATATTTTGAATGGTAAAATGAAAATGTGCAATAATTTTTTATGAAATAAGAGCAGGAAATAATGCTTCTCATATGCCATCATCGTACATAGGCGTACTCGAACATACCCCTACATGGCGTATGAATGCAATGTAAACTTAAGATGAAAATATCATGGGAAAATAACCTGATCTAGAAAAACGGCAAACAGATCCGTAATCTACGACACAAAATTAAGTTTACGTGTCTCGCCGTTTTTTGTGTCATTTTAGCGACCCTACAGTGTTATCTCGATTTCAATAGTAACCTTTTTCAAAGAAAACACTTCATTAATCTATTGAAAAGTATTAAAAGAAAAAAGTATAGTGTATAGTAAAGTATGGAATCAAGTGCCATATCATAACAGGGGCTGTCAGGGAATTAAGCAAAAATTTTACGGTCTCATATTTCCTAATATTAGAAAAACTTATAATTTTGAAAACATTCGAGATTTTTAATCGAGCAGATCTTGCAAATCTAGCTTCAGCCAAATGGGGGATGAAATTTTGAACGTGTGAATAATTTGTTGGCGGCCTAATTTCATTTTTTTATTTGTGACCTAACTTCACTTGCCAAAATGAATTGGGCTCTGTGAATTATGGCCGCGAGTATTAATACCGCGATCAAAAAATGAAATTAGGCCGTCAAACAAATAAGAAGGCGGCCTTAATTCGCGCCTTTCTGCGTAGTCGGCCTTCGGCCACGCTTCGAATCCCTAAGCCGCCTACCTAAGTAGAATTATCCTTTCTGAGTTGCCCGCGCGGCCTAATTCCATTTTTTGGATCGCGGTCTTAATACACACGCGGCGATAATTCACGGAGCCAGCCAAACCAGTGATTATATGCAAAATAATAAAGAACATTTCTACTTTAAGATCCCTTAAGCACTTTTTGCACAGGTTTGCACGAAGTTCTGATTTTCTTCAATAAACATGGCAAGCATCCGAAGAGAGTAGCTTAAGGCAACAAAGATGATAATGCTAGAATGAAACATATTTTGGATAAAGTGGGAAGAGACATTGACAGTACAGTATTTCTCGCTTATAAGCACCCCGGTGGTATGCATTTCCCGCTTATAAACCCTAAGAACAATGCACTACGGTCTGACGATTATCATTTGCTGGCCGGCCAAAAAATCGAGAAGTAACCAAGATGATTTGAAATTTACTGTTTTGGAGTTTTAGAGGTCGATGATTTCGAATATGATGCCAGATTTTTGAAATTCAAAATGGCAGATCCAATATGGCGACCAAATTTTATAATTTTTTCCCTTTCGCTGATTTCAAATCTGATGTCATATTTTTGAAATAGAAAATGGCGGATCCAATGTGGCGTTATCGGATTCGTAGCAAATAAAAAAAAATGTAAGCTTAAAATAGCCAAAAATATTATGGCGTGTCAATTATAAAGACTGATAAGATAATAATTTATAAATATACGAATGATGAACGTCTGGCACTATTCTTTATATGGGAGGTACGGGAAAATTTGGGCCGTCCACACCCATTTATGGTACAGAAATTATATTACTGGATGCATTGTTCTGGCAAAATTTCAACATCCCACATGCATTCGTTGCATAGTTCTGACTTTTTACGAAAAAGGGCACACTGTGCGGTTGGGCCAAATATCCCTTCCTTGGATGCTTTGTCCTTCTCTTCCATCGGGCGTAAGCGAGATGTTGAAGAAATTCGGTTTGACTTGCATTATGGCTAGACGCTCGTCCACCGGGGTGAACGACAATAATCGGCGACGGAGTCTCTCTCCCACCACAAATTTGCGCTACTGAACATTACAGCTGTAGTAGACGTTGCAAGGCCCCAGACATTTTTTGCCTTGCCCCCTCTAACGCATTTCTTGGAAGGCGGTGATGTCAACTTTTGTCCTTATCAACCAGCCAAGCCAGGAGAGGCACCTTCCCCATTAACGCTTCGCACATTCCATGCGCATGGGTATAAGGAATATAAACGATGCATATTTTTGAGATATCGATAATATCGGTTCAAAATTCGATGTTTGCCATCGATGTTCACGATTTCCTAAAATCGCTGAATTGTCCATACAGTGATTGATGTCAATTTCAACGATGTTTTAAACCTCAACTTTAGTGTGACTCACACTTGCTTTGGATTCAACTTTGCCATTATGTTCCTAAATTTTTTCGACTGGTCATGAATTTTACTACGAATTTACCTTCAAGTATCAAGAATCATAACTTAATCATTAAAAAAGAATTTCAACATATCAGGGAACTTACGACGGTATGCAATTATTATTGGTAATTAATCGATTCAAGCCCGGAACACTCCCATTGTAAGAATTAAAAATCTATGGGAAAAATCTCGTCATATCTCAGTAATATCTACTATTTTGAGAGTAATACCACTATTAATTTGATTTGTCTTCTTTTTTGTACATTCGCGACGCTTGTTCGATTCCGGCTGAAGTCTATAAAACAGTCTTTCCCAAAAAAAAAAAA